GGGGGGGGGGCATTTAACACATTAATTTTAATCCACAGAGAGACCTCCTACCATGTTGTCCTGGGCGTCCTTTAAATCCAGAGATGCCTGGTTCTCCAGGCTGACCCTTGATGCCAGGACGTCCATCGAAACCACTCTCACCAAGAGGTCCTGAAAAGAAAAATTAACATTTTTATTTATGTTTGTTGCCGTATTTTATTTTTATTTTTTTAATAAAGATTTTCTAAACTCGCTTCACCTTTGAAACCAGAGTTTCCAGGGATTCCAGGGTTTCCACGGAATCCTGCCTCTCCCTTCATACCAGGGGTTCCTGGGAAGCCTGGGAGTCCTGGATCACCTGTGTCCCCCTGTTGCGTGCCTGGACCAGGTGGTCCAGGAGGACCTGGAGGACCCTGAAAACCTGCAGCAGAGAGGAGAGTGTGACAATGTGAAAGTGGAGGACTGACAATAGAGAACCAGACCATAGAAATGTTTTTACCAGGATTTCCATCCAATCCAGGAAGGCCGGGGTCTCCCGCAGGCCCAGGAAAGAACGACTCTGCTGGTTTACCAGGGGGTCCAGGCAGTCCAGAGAACCCAGCTAGACCAGGAACACCTTATACACAAAAGAACCAAATATTTATGTAACCATAAATTCATTTTAATGATAATTTCTTTTTAGAAATCCAACCCACCTGGTTCTCCTTTCTGTCCCTTTGAGCCAGGGAACCCTGGTACTCCAGGGTAGGTCACACCTCTTTCTCCCTTCAACCCAGGACTACCAGGAACCCCAGGGCGACCACCTATAACTGCACCTGAATACAAACATGACAAACATTTGAAAAGGTTCATCTTTATAGTGCCTCTACTATCTCTGTTGCATTTGGACATCTGCAACTGAAAACATTTGATGCTAAAGCCCCAAATGTCCAGGTCAAAAAAAATTCTGCCAAAGATAGACAATAATTACCGTATTGTTCAGTTATAAGGCGCACTTAAAATCCTTTAATTTTCTCAAAAATTGACAGTGAGCCTTATAATCCGGTGCGCCTTATGTATTAATTCTGGTTGTGCTTACTGACCTCGAACCGATTTTATGTGGTAAAACTGAACAATGTTGAGAGTTATTGTGAATGAGTTGAATAAAGTTTGACTTATCTGACTGTTTTGTTTTGCTTAATGCGCCTTATACTCCAAAAAATATGGTATTAAAAAAAACTCGTCCAACTGTGCCTACCTTCATTTTAAAATTGTACTGCAACAGATTACTGAAATTACACATCCCAAATATGTTTATTGTAGTTAGACTGACATAAACAAGAGACAAGAATACTAAAAAATACACTAAGGTTGGATAATTCAGAAGCAACAGATGACTTATCCAACATGATCCTTGCCTTTGGTTCCTGGAAGCCCTATGGGACCAGCAAGGCCATTAAGTCCATCCAAACCAGAAGCTCCAGGAAGACCTGGACAAACAACATTGTGAGAACATCTGTGGACCTGTTGTTTCAAAACATCTTCCGTGGGCTCAAATATGAAAATTTTTTATGGTTTATCTTACCTTTGATCCCTGGAACCCCAGGGGTCCCAGTTGGACCGGGAAACCCATCTGATCCTCTTCTCCCTGGGAATCCTGGCTGACCACGTTGCCCAGGGAACCCAGGCGAGCCTATGGAAGATAAGGTATCACGCATGATTGTGCTGCTTAAAGGGAAACAGCTCAAAATCAGCTTCATCACTTGGCCTTTGTTGGTCTCTCACCAATTAGTCCAGTCCGTCCGATTTGGCCAGGAGCACCTTTTGCTCCAAAGTAACCCTGACTTCCTGGAACGCCGCTGTCCCCAGGCCTGCCCTCGTTGCCTGGAGCACCTACAAAAAGACAACCAAATTTCACCACATAGGTTTAACATTTTTGCAATACATTTTTTACCAAAATGAAAATGTGGTTTTATGTTGTCCAGCGAAGCAACATGACCCAACTAGATCCTACCAGAATACACAATCAACATACAAATTAACCGAGATAAATATTATTAAAAAGGCTGGAAACAATGTTGTAGTGATGTAATAAAAGGCCAGATTGTTGTGACTGGGACAGCACGGTGGTGCAGTTGGTAGCGCTGCTGTCTCTCAACAAGCTTTTCAGGGTTTTTCTGGGTGGTGTTTGCATGTTCTCTCCGTGCATGCATGGGTTTTTTCCAAGTACTCCAGTTTCCTCCCACAGACAAACATGCATGTTAGGCTGATTGGCAACTAAATTGTCTCTAGGTGTGAGTGAGAGTGAATGGTTGTTTGTCTCTATTGCCTCATTTCGATTAGCACCATTAGTACCGGTACAACACGGTTCGACTTGGCTCGGTATGAGTTGTGTTTCCATTATACTTTCACCAGCAGACCAGCAGTGACCAGCGGAGCCTGCCTGAGCCCTGGTCTTGCACGTGCTTGCTGGGGTGCTTCACAGGGGATCTTCCGCCATGACTGGCAGAGCTTGGAGCTGGGGAGATGATGCCCTGCCTGGTCTGAGGTGTTCCGAGGTTCTGGTGGAGAGGACCGGGGAGACAGGCGGAGCGCCATCTAGCTCGTTCTGAATTTTGTTGTCGGCCACCAAACACAAAATTACGCCTGCACTTCAGTATTAGATCACGGTGTTGTCATTATTGTTTTTAAAATCTTTAAAATAGGTCCAGTTGCTCCTCGAGTTGAGTATTGGAAATGATGGATCGGGTTGTTATGAATTCTCAAACAGCCAGTGACCCACAGTGTTCTGATGTCACATTTTAGGGCCAGTTCGGCATGGTTGGAACCCCAGAGAAATGGGTACTGAAAAAGGGACTGGTTCCACGAACCGTTGCTAGTGGATAAGCCTTGGAACCATGCCGAGTTGAGTCAAACCGTGCTGTACCTTTACTAATGGAAAAGGGCCATATGTGTCCTTGTGATGGACTGGAGACCCCGGACCCGTCCAGGGTGTCCCCAGCCTCTTGCACAGTGACAGCTGAATATGGGCACCAGTGACCCCCACGACCCAAAAAGGAAGAAGTGGTAAAGATAATGGATGGATGGAAGATCAAAGTTTCAGTCTGCTACCTTACTGCTATTGTTTCCCTTTTTTTAAATAATTCTCATCCCCATTCACGGAAGGTGTCACAGCTAACTGAGCTTAGTAAAAACAATAATAGTTAAAATTCTGTCAGTTTTACACATAGTTTGCCTAAATTTGTCTCACATATCCAAGCAGCACTGAGAAAACCCCAGATGTGTGTTTGAAGTTTTGCCATGCTGGGCACTGAGTGATATTGCTTTGGTCAGGCTTGTATTAATTCAGAAGTTGTCACTAGGAGCAAGCGTTTGCTATTCTGAAAGGAATGTCGCTTCAAAAATGGTTCTATCAAAACAAGTCATCTTACCTGGTAAACCTGGATCTCCAGGCTGGCCTTGAAGTCCTGGTGTTCCAGGAAAACCAAAAGCTTCTCCAGGTGGACCTATGCAACAAAACAAGTCCCCGATTACTCACCAACAGATGTAGGGTTGAGCTGTAGATCTGACATGGAAAATGTCTTGATTTCATCTGTCTTGCTCACCTTTGAGACCATGTCGCCCAGGTTCTCCAGGGTTGCCAGGGAACCCTGGTGCACCGTCATCCCCCTGAAAAACCCATCAGAACATCAGTCCTGCCACTTTAACATGCTGCGTGTTTATGTGTGTGGATTTTCTCACAGTTGGTCCTGGCATGCCAGGAAATCCCATGATTCCAAAGTCTCCCTTTGGTCCAGAGAAGCCTGGAAGTCCAGGCAACCCAGAGAACCCTGGCACTCCAGGCTGTCCTTTACTCTGATCTGGAAAACCAGGAAGACCAGGCCGACCTTCTCGACCAGGCTGACCCGGCAGACCTTTGTCACCTGTACAAGATAAAGAAAATTCATACATATAACAAAATACATCAACACTTGTTATAATCAACACAGTAAAAACAGTCAAGTGACATAACAAAGATAAATGTATAACCATGAATTCCATACATAGAGAGGAATTTGATCACAACTGTTCAAAAATTACATGTTTAGGAGTTTACTGCTGAGTTGCTTTGATAAAAGACTGCATTACTGTTTCAACCAGAAGGTAGAAAGTGTCCTATATACAGCAAATCCCACTTTATACAGTAATTATAGCAATGATTGACACATGGTAGCCCAGCAAGTCAATAAAAGTGAAGTGGAGGGAGGGGTTGGGAGGGGTTGAGGTACCCACCTACAATGCATCGGGGCTTATGTGCTAGGATATCAATCAGTTTGGTAATGTTTTTAAAATTAAATCTTTTTGAGACTTAGTCAGTGGACAGCTTATTTAAAAGTGTAAAACTGTACACTACCGTAATTTCTGGACTATAAGCCGCTACTTTTTCCACACATTTTGAACATCATAGCTTATACAATGCTGCGGCTAATTTATGGATTTTTTTCATTTTTATTTTTTGGACGGGCTAACGAGCTTCACAATGCCAAAACATTTATCCTTGTCACACCCGGGTGCTCACATAGCTGCCCAATACACATCTTCGTGACTCAGTAGCTATGTTTACATGCGCAAAATTCTTTGACCGGATTGAAATGTTTTCAGATTAAATAATTCGAATGTATCGTTTACATGGGCACAATCTGTTCATGATGGACGTTTACATGCAGCGGGCTTTGTTCTGAACAGAAGTACTGACATGTGCAGAGTGGTAAACTGTCCTTAAAAAAAACACAGAAGAAGAAGTTCTACTTCCGGGATGAACGTAAACAAAGCTGAGCGCCCAAAATGGACCCGCGACAGGTTTTAATGACGATGGAGATGTTACTGCACTCCCTGACTGAGCTACAGGTAATAAAGATAATTTTGAGCTCTTTCAAAATTTCTAGTAGAAATGTGTCACTCACCGACCAGTTTTGCTCCCACGACATGCTAATATTATTAGCATTAGCCAGGCGGAAATGACATAGGTCGCACATGCGCAGTCAGGTCAGTTTTTTGCGATCGGAAAAAAAATGAACAGATTAAGCATTTACATGCGCACCTTTTGGATTATGAATCGGCGTAAACCACCCGTTTTGTTCTGATCACAAATTATTTCGGATCACGTTGAATAAACAAAAAAATAATCCGAATGGGGCGTTTACATGACGCATTTTTATTCTGAATGGTCGTTTAACCCAATTGCTTATGTCCATGTAAACATAACTAATGAGCCTGCCTGTATATATAAAGGTAAAAAAAAAGGACTGTCCAATGAAATTACCCAACAGGTTACAGTTGAAACCTTTCATTGGTCCACTGGGGAGGGGGCGGGGGAACTTTGTTTCTTCCATCCCCATTCTCTCCTCCCCTCCTCCTCCCTGTGGGAGTTTCTCCGTGGGAGTTTCCCCCCTCGTTGTACACAACAAAGTATTTGCAGCCATTTAAAGTGTGAATCGTACATCAAATCAAATCTTGAATTTGCCTCAAGATGAAAGTGATGTTAAGAGCGACAACAAAAGAGACCGAGGACGTGTGTGATGAAGCTTTCTGAGGCTGTTCAATTCAACATTGAAGAAGACGACTTTAGGGATTTTAGTGCACATGAGGAATATGAAGATTGCGATCAATGAATTTTCCTTACAGGCTACTGTATTTTTTTTAACCAGCCATGTTACAGACACAATTCAGAAAAAAAAAAGTTACTGTACATATTTGTGTATGTTACCGGTACGTATCAGTAAAGTTAAAAAAATATTTCTGTGTAAATATCTCATGTTACAACGTGGACACCTGCGGCTTATGCACAAGTGTGGCCTGTATATGTACAAATGCATATTTATTTTAAAATTTAGTGGGCACGGCTTATAATCAGGTGCGCTCAATAGTCCGTAAATTACGTTACTTTGTAATTACACATCCCCCAACTTCTTATTTATTTGGAATGATCTTATTTTATATTTGTAAAACTACTTAACATTTGATTTGTCCTATGAAGTCATTTTTCCTCATCTACCATCCTTGTACAGGGGCTCGGGAAAAATGACCAAAATTTTCATTTAAAATAATTTAGTTACACAATAATAAAAGAACAAGGTAAATGATATGTGTCACAAATATTGGATATAAAGAAATAAAACTGACAGAACATATAATAAAAAGCAACTTTTTTTTTTTTGCTTTCAGAAGTCAGTAGAACAAAACAGGTTACAACTTATTAACATCTAAAATAAAATGCCTCATGCTATTAAATATAAATACTACTCCCAAATTACATTCTTTCTTAAACACTAACCTCTTGACATCTGGCTTGAAAGTTGAGAGGCTTCACATGTGTAATAATAATAATAATAATAATAATAATAACTTCATATGCTGCTATGTCACTTTACTACAAATGTCAATGTCAGGACCTTCATTTTATAGATAGACTTTTTAAATATTTTTATACTGCTGTACTTACAATTTAGGACAGTATCATACTTTTATTATTTCATTTTATGCTAATATTTATTAAATGTTTTAATGTTTATTGTTGCACCAGGGGTCTGAGAGTAACGGAATTTCAATCCTGTGTATGTCCTGTACATAGTGCAGTTTTGACAATAAAGTTGACTTTGACTTGACTTTGATGATGATAATAATAATAATAATAATAATAATAATAATAATAATAATAATAATAAATGTTAATTTTATTTTATTTTACCTTTGTTGACTCCTAATATGTAGGACCAAGTAAACATTTGCATTTCTAAATTCAGAAATTAAAAGGCAACATGGAAAAGATTGTTTTGTGGTAAGAATATCTAAAAAAGTTAAATCTGGCTCTCTGGACATTCAAAAAACAAAACAAAACAAAAAAATTGTAGAAGTGTTTCGTCTTTCATCCGAATGTTTCTACAATTTTATTTGTTTTGTTTTGTTTTTTGAATGTCCAGAGAACCAGATTTAACTTTTTTTAGATTTTTCTACCTGGATTATTGAGCATGCATCAGGATATGTGGTAAGAATAGTTTTCATTTCAGTTAATAACAAACCATTTGAAAATAATGAGTTATTTTTACTACCTCTGGGTCCCGTGAAGCCCTGAAGGCCTACGAAACCAGGTTCTCCTCCATCACCTTTCTGCAAGATCCCTGATGGAGAAGGAATGCCAGGTGGACCTGGAGATCCTCTGTCCCCTATGAAAGTAAAAACATGACCATGTTTGTGTAACTCTCCTTCAGTGTGCGTCTTTCAAAACTGCAGCTCTGAGCACTGATCATAATTCGAGGGGCTCACAACCTTCATTGTGTTCAGAATTTTACCTTTCGGTCCGAAGATTGTAGACCTCCCGGGTGATCCATTTCTACCAGGCACGCCAGGCTGTCCTTTCACTCCAGAAAATCCTGGAAGTCCTGCGCGACCAGGTAGACCAGGGAAGCCCATCAGTCCTGGCAAACCTCGTTGACCTGTGGGAATGACCAGCAGATCAGAACAATCAGTGGAATGAGATGACAGCGGATCCTGTTTCGCTTATGACCCCTTCACACTAAAATTGCTCCGTTGAAAAATAAAGTAATCAATCAAAGGAAGATGCTCCTAGGTTCAATTCTGTTACATACTGTACTTTAAAACGGGCATTTAGAAAGCTGGAAAGAAAGTGGCGCTCCACTAACATTGAAGAATTTTATTTAACTTGGAGAGATAGTCTGCTAACATAAGACATAAAAACCTGGATGACCCTTAATTTTCCGCTTTTAAACTCAGACAAGACAGAGGTATTAGTTTTTGGACCTGAGCATCTTAGGAATAAATTTTGCAGTCTTTCACTTTTGTTGGGTGGCATTTTTCATTCATTCATTCAACCTTTATTTAGACAGGTAAATCCCATTGAGCCCCGAGGACTCATTTACAAGAGAGACCTGATTTCAACAAAGAATAATGACAACAATGGACAACAGCGACAACAATAGACAGTTCTAAAAAGTCATACAAATTTTTTAAAATTAATTAATTTTTTTAACAAATAGGATGGCTAAAAAAAGAAAAGTAACAAAAAACAGCTAGATTCTAAGGCGAATGTAGATAATGCATTAATTTGGCCTCCAGTTCTAAAATTAAAAACCTTGGTGTTATTTTTAATCAGGATATGCCTTTTATCACCCACATTAAAAAAGTTACAAGGATCACCTTCTTCCACCTGTGTAATATCACTAAGATTAGAAACATTTTGACCAAAAATGATGCAGAAGAACTGGTTCATGCATTTATCACATCTAGACTGGACTATTGAAATTGTTTATTATCTGGGTGTCCAAAAACTTCTTTGAAATGTCTTCAGTTGATCCTAAATGCCAGCCAGCCAGCCAGCCAGACAGACAGCCAGCCAGCCAGCCAGACAGCCAGACAGCCAGCCAGCCAGACAGACAGACATACAGACAGAAACACTTTATTAATCCCAGGGGGAAATTTGAGGCATCCAGTAGCATGTTCTAATTATACAGAAAAAAGACACGTGAAATAATCAAAAAAGAAGCAGAATACACAAATTTGGAAAAATACAATATGCACATGCACAAGGTGGTAGAGAGTACTACATTCATGATTAACCTATATACATGTATACATACATACACATCTAAGCATACATACGCATATACTTTTTTTTTTTTCATTTAGCCTTTATTTATCCAGGTAGTCTCATTGAGCCACGAGAACTCATTTTCAAGAGAGACCTGTTTAGGGAGCAGATGGTGGGGGTTAAGGGCTTTGCTCAAGGGCCCAGAGTGGGGCGAATGAGGGTGGAGGCAGGTGTGGGTGTTCCACCTTTTCCACCCACATTTTGATGTTGATGGTACCGGGAGCTGAACCTGCGACTTTCTGATCACAGACCCATCTTCTAACCTCTGCGCCACCACTCCCCCCAATATACATGTATATACATGGACTGGACTGTACTTGTATAGCGCCTTTCTACGTTATTGACACGTAAAGCACTTTACACTACAATCTGTGCCCTCATTTACCCATTCATACAGCACTCTACTATATACAGTATAAAGAATAATCAGTGCTTTATCACATTCATACACCGATGGGACACACATCGGAGGCATATGCATATGTACATGTAACTATACATACACACACATACATCAGTGCCTGTGTACTGCATATTTACACGGCTCTACTTTTACTGTACGGGAAGGAGCTGAACAGTCTGATGGCTTGAGGGACAAAGGACTTCCTGAATCTGTCCATTGAGCAGGGCTGGGACAGCAGTCTACCACTGAAGGAGCTCCTCTGCTTCATGATGGTGCCGTGCAGAGGATGATCAGCATTGTCCATGGTGGATAGTAGCTTACTGAGGGCCCTTTTCTCTGCCACAAGAATGTGACAGAAGAGTTCAAAAAACGTTCAATTCATCATGTCCTGGATGACTGAGAATCTTCACCAGCATGTGACAGAAGAGTATTCCCAATTCCCCCCTTTCAAAAATAATAATATAGTCTGAAGGTCTTTGTTGAGATTTAGCGAGGACTTTAGTAGTGAATTAGGAACAAAGTGGACTCCTAATGAAAACTTGAACAATGATGGTGGTTTATGATTATGGTGACAATGTTTACCACACACACCAGCGTGGCTTAATCCTAAAGAATCTGAAAGAAGACTGGGTCTGGCCATGCTGGCCTTATGCCTATTGTTCAACCATGATAGTGACAAGGTCATAGAAACATCTAGGTCAGATGTGACACTTGGTAGCATGATACTGTGTACGAGCTGCATCTTGATGCAGTCCAAGAAAATTATTCCCATTCAGGCATACATAACTTAGTGAGGATGTAGGAAAGCATCCTGGGAATGAGCAAAACAGCAGGAAAAACCTATTTGGCAATTCCTATGAGTGTAGAAGCACCATGATTGTTTTCATCCTGAAAGAAGATTTCCTAATTTATTGTGATCATGCTACATTCTTGTAGGTCATAACCCTGAGTGAAGCGAACCATACCCTTTACTCCCGGTAATCCTGGGTTGCCCTCTCTAGTTCCTGGTCCTGGAAGACCAGGAGGTCCCACTAGTCCTGGTGTTCCAGTGAAGCCAGTAAGTCCTGGGGTTCCTTTCATTCCAGCAGGTCCTGGGAAACCTGGGTCCCCTCTTCCTCCTTTCACACCAGGGTATCCTGACCAAGATAGACCAGAGAGTTCAGATGAGGAAAGATTAGGTTTGTAAAAACTCACAAAGTGTTAAATCAAATTGTGATAAAGGTCTATTTTGTATTTATCTGGAAACAACAACAAAATAATAATACAATGTATTGTAATTTTCATTTTTTTAACTAATAGTTGAAACAATACATCATAAGAAACTAGCTCAAATACTTACCTTTTCTATAAATAATTAACTTACCTCCAGCAGAATTTTTATATTCATAAGTTTGACAAAATCAACTCAATGCTTATTTCTATTCTTAATAAATAAACACACTGATATGAAATGTGAGAAACTGAAGCCAACAATGTAAACACAGATGTTCACTTACATTGTTTTAATGCTGCAATTGCACTTGTCATTGGTAAGACACAAGCCACATGTGCTTAATTTAGATACAAACAGTATCCAAGGGTTTTAACTGTTAAAACATTTACCGGAACCAATCCATAAAAATCCAAATATACTGAGTTTGAGTGCAATTCCAGTCCGATTTAGTGAGGCTCCGCCACCTGAGGGTTGTCCTACAGAACAGCAGGCTAACAGCTACAGTTGACATTCTTAAAAACAGAACCCATTTCCAAACACATCTGTGCTGCAATGTTAATAAATGCCAGCTTTAAATAATCTATCACCAATTTAGGCACAATGATGTGATGAAAATCAAAAGTCCTTTTAAGAGTGTAGAAAAAGCCTTTGCACTCAGCGCAGCAGTCACAGAGTTAAATAGCGTTTTGTTTTGGTTAACAAACCTAATGCTGTTAATTCAATAAATACATCTGTTATGGATTAGATGTAAAATTGAAACATGGGGGTTAGATATTGCTGCAAAAATAACAAAAAAGCAGGCTTATTGTTTTATCGTTTGCTCTTATGAATGAAACATTCATCTTAAGTCAACACATGGGTGTGATGATCTTATTTTCTTCTGGTACTAAAAGTTCAATACACACTTAGTGACCAAAATGCAGTTAAGCACTCAAATGTAATTGTCTAGCTTGAATACTAGTGATGCTTTTGTAAAGGATTTGATTTTCAAGAAACTAAGGCTTCAAAGGGCACAAGTACTAGCATACTGGGTAGAAACTAATGTTATTAGGCAGTTGCTGGAACATCCAACAGTCAGTTAAAACTGTGAGTGAAATGCCTCATAAACACATGACATACACAGCATTACTAACACTTAGCAAAATTTGATAGGGGTCACACTGGAGGTCAGGTGGTCATACTGTGCAAGTTGTAAAGCATACAGATTTCACAGTAGACCGTGGTAGAACCAGTGGGTATGTGAGGGTACATACCCTTGTTGTGAAGGTTCTGGTCTCCCAATGCACACTACACTAAGGGGAGCATTGTTGTATTGTGCACCAAACATTATACATCAAGACGTAGGCATTGGACTCTTTACAAGTTGTCAAGTTATCACGCACCTTGTCTCACTGACTAAAAGTCATACAAGGCTTCTTGATTCCATGCATAGACTTCCACAATTGACAGAGTAGAAACAGCTGTGTTTGGAGCAGTGGCATAAACTGATGAGTGCCATCATGTTCAGCAATGAATCTTGGTTCTATGTTACCACAGGTGATCGTTGTGTGCTTGTATGGCAGCACTGATGGGACAGGACAATTCTAAAAAGTTGTTGGGAAGACACACCAGCATTACTTCTTCCATCATGGTGTTGGGAAACATAGCATATGGCTTCAGATTATGTCTGGTAACAATTCAGGGGATATCCTGCTTTCTCATGTCTTACCCCCTAGGTACATGGTACATTCATTTTGAAAAAATCCATACACAACCACATGGCATGAATGCCTACAAGGACTACCGTCATATCGAGAACATTCTCCCTTAACCTTGTCCCGAATAAAATGTGTAGTGCCAATTTGGTTGACCTAGTCTGATACGTAAGATATCGAGGACCAGATACAGCAGCTACTGGATGACAAAGGAGAGAATACAACTGTGTGACTCTTTTCTGCATTAAATCAGTTTGCCTCCTGGCTTGAACGGGTACCACAACCAACAGACATGGGACCAGCAGTGTGCCTGTCCTGCCAGTTCTGCTATCCATTGGATGTGATGTTGTATTCATTGCATTATGCTCACGACTTTCAACATGGGAGGTTTTATTTTCTTTCTACCACTATGCATGGGTGCTTAACTTTTCATCAGAAAGTGTAGTATTGTTTATATTATTAATTTGTACACAGATTTTGATAAAGTATTACAATTTTACAATTGTCTTTAGCAAAAAACTTGCTAAACAAAATCCAACTAAAAGCATGAAAATGGCATATCCTGTAAGCTGTAATGGTTCATTCAAGAGAGTAGAGACATCAAATTCATCCAACTTATTTTGGCACTAAATGACACAATATTGAAAATTCAATACCAAAGAAACATAAAATGTGCAAATAATACCTATAAAGTCTTAATTGTTAGTCATCCTTACTTCTATAGATGGACATTTGTTTGAAGTATGATGATAAAGCATATTCTGACAATATTAGGGTGGTATAGCAGTTAAAGATTAAATGCATGAGTTGCAGAAGCATGCAGGGATTGAAGAAAAAAATTCCAGCAGATAGGCAAAGATATGGACAATGGATGGAGATAGTGTCTCACCTGGGCAGCCTATATCGAATCACCAAAAACCAAGAAGGAAAAAGATGGAAGTATGAGAGGATGCATGGAGGTGATGGTGATGGAGTATGGAGGAAAGAAAGAAGAATTAAGGGAGGGAAAAAGTGGTACAAAGAGAAAACACAAAACAAAAGAAGACAATTTTTGGGTGATGACGAACTTGAATGCACAGGAACATAACATGCCATCTGATGGAGGGTGTGAAAGGATAATGACAGGTAATGACACGGACAAACAGACACTGGAAAACTAGAGGGATGAGAGGTTAAAAATATTAGCCAAAATCAAGTCAATATGATTTGTCTCAATCTGAAACCCCAAACTAATAATCAAGAATGCATAATTCATCAAGTTAGCAGAAAATTTTATCTCACCTGGAGGTCCAATCAATCCTTTGCTTCCGGAAGGTCCAGGCGGACCGGGAATGGCACCGATAGCCTCACCTGGAAGTCCAGGAAGACCAGGAATACCTGGTAAACCATCAACGCCACGCTCTCCCTTCAAACCAGGAGAACCGAAGGGTCCATTGAAACCTGACAGAGGAATAAAAAATATTTTTTTGTTTTTAACTGCTTCTTTTTATAGTATTTTTCCCACTACAGTTGACTAATTAGCAACAGTTTGTGTTTATGTGTTCATTTTAAGTTATGCTACTGTCTGTTCAACAAAGTTCAGTCAGGTCATCTGGATGCTTTCTTATTTGTTGAGACGTTTCATCCTTCATTCAAAGGACTTCATCAGTCCAAGGAGCCACAACAAACCGAGACCCACAAGCAGCAAACCCCACATAGTGGACCAACCAGTTTGTTGGTGATGACATGGTTTCTGGGGCCCACCCTCTCCTCCGTCAACTCTTCTGAGGCATCCATAGCTAAAGTGGTTCAAAACATCAAGGATGAAGTCCTTTGGATGAAGGATGAAATGTCTCAACAAAAAAAGAAACCATCCAGATGATCTGACTGAACTTTATTGGATTTTCTACTTGGATTATTGAGCATGAACTACTGCTACATGCTACTGTCTGTTCATCCAACTAGTTGTTCCCACCCCAGCAGTCACTTCCTACCAGCTTCAGAGCAGTCCTATACCAGGTGGTGTTTATGAAGGTGGAGATACTATCCACCACATCTGTAAACATCTGCTAACATTGGAATATGGAGGTCTGCTTCAGCCTAAGCAATGATAAGCTTTTTTTTGTGATTTTGGAGGTATTTAAGAACCACATTAAGTCTCTGGAAATGTGGACTCCCAAGATATTTGGAATTTGTAGGCCATTTCCACATTTGCTCCAGCAATGAACAGGAGAAAGAAGACATGGCTTCACTTCCTGAAACCCACCACCAGCTCCTTTGTCTTGTCCGCATGACTACAGAAGTTATTCTCCTCACACCAGACCGCCAGATCTTCCACTTCATATAGGACAACGACTCATCATTGTGAAATAGTCCCACTACTATGTCATCTGTAAACTTCATAATACATATTGTTGCTAGGGAGGTTTGACTGGGTAATCAAATGCAAGTAGTGTCAACAGCAGGGGGCTCATGACACACCCATGGGGGGGGGGGGGGGTCATTGTTTAGGGTGATAGGGAAGATGAGATGCCGTGGGTTTAGACACACTAGTGTCAAAAAGTCCAGTACCCATTAAAAAGAGATTGTGTTAGCCCATGAAGCCCATGAGAGTCAAATGGATGACTAATGGCTCAGTGTCTGATGTGTAGCTGTTCTTCCTGGTGTATGTCTACACTACCACTGTAAAGCACTGTTATCAGTGTTACTACAGCTACAACTGATTGAATGACAAAGTATTAAAGTACTACTAGTTGTACTGCTGCCTGCATACTTATTACTATTGCAAGTACTTCCACACCAAGAACACATGCCAGTCTATTTCTTAGACCCACCAGGAGCTCCAGGTGATCCTGGTGTCCCTGGCTGGCCCTTGTTTCCATCCATTCCAGGTCGGCCATCCAGTCCTGGAGTTCCCGGAGTGGCTCCAAGAACCTCTCCAGGTTGCCCTTTGGGTCCAGGAAGTCCTGGAAAACCATCCTTCCCCCTAGGTCCATCCAAACTCTGTCCTGGAACACCTGGAATTCCAGGGTCCCCTCTGGGTCCAGGAAAACCTGCAGGAAGAGTGCATGGATAATGTCTACATAAACTGCCAAAGGAGTGAAAACTTTGTCATAATGGAAAACAACATTCCTGCAACAATATCGTAGTAACATAAGAATTTATTATACCAGCGAGTAAGCTTAGGCTTGTGAGGAAATACACGTTTATTGCGCTTTTGTATACTTGTTAAGAAAATATTTATTATTGGTCTAAAGAACACCTGCAAACAAAAAAAGCTGCTTGAACATAAATAAGATAGGAAATATTATTTTAGCCCCATGCTTCTCTTGGTTTAGCCATGTATGGAGTACAAAGTCACAATCTTTTTAGTCCAGTAAACATAGGGATGGACAGAGATATTTGATTGGTCATTGAAATATATAAAATAGACAAGTTAATATGACTGTCATCTTTATAACTGTAGTTTTAATTCTACTGGCACCACATGCTGCTATAACACTACCATGCTACACTTGTCTGAGAGGACCTGTGTGTGTTTGTCTAATTCTTGTGTCTTCTGTCCTGCTCGCCTCAGTGTTTCTCCCTCTTGTAATCACCTGCCTCCACCACCTGTTGTTCTTCCACAGGTGTTTGTCATTGTTTGTTCGATAGTGTCTGTATACAAGTCTCTGTGTTCCTCATTGTCTGGATAGTATTACATATTAGAATCCTGATCCACACTCCTTACCAGTTGGTGGCGGTAATGCACCATTAAGTTGTTTGCCAACCGCCAATAAACACCACACGAAGAAGAAGAAGAATTGTCTGGGTATTGTCTTGTATGGCGTTATGGTCCTATCTTCGTCCATGTCATCCCTCAGGTTTTGTAAGTTTGCTGCATGTCACTTCTTTATTAAAATCAATTATATTCTAAATCCTGAGTAATCCTAGTCCTGCCTGCACATGGGTTCTACCAAACTCCAAAAACGTAACAATGTCAATCTAATCAAGTGCAATGTTTAAGTGCTTGTCCCATACAGTTTCTACTTAAACCACCTTGAACACATAATTACAGCATGCACTGGTCTACAGTAAATTACAGCTCATAGCATAACTCAAAGTCCAGACAGTGCAGAGCTTAGAACAAAGGTTACCTTGTGATCCAGGTTGGCCTCCAAAGCCAGATTCTCCCCTCTCTCCTTTGGTGCCGTCAAAACCTGGACGTCCAGGACTTCCTGGGAAACCTTTTTCACCTTTAGAGCCTGAGGGAAAATATAATAAAGCACTAAGTTTGAGCATTATTAGTCAGCCACACAGGATTTCCACACAATCCACACACACCTTTGGACTTTGCTTTACTCTAGTAAAGCAAATTTTGGATTTTACTTTTCCAAATGCTAGGGATCTTTCCAACAATTACCTACTTCATTACAATTTGTTTAGAAGAGAAGAAAGACCAACACATGATGCATCATTTTATAAAAATGTAACAATCATTAGAAAAAAAGATAATTAATTTATAAAATAATGTTCTGTCAAGTGGGCAGCACGGTGGCGCAACTGGTAGAGCTGCTGCCTCTCAGCGAGCAGGTCCTTGGTTCAAACCCCGGTCCAGGGGCCTTTCTGGGTGGAGTTTGCATGTTCTCTCCGTGCATGCGTGGGTTTTCTCCGGGTACTCCGGTTTCCTCCCACAGACCAAAAACATGCATGTTAGGCTGATTGGTAACTCTAAATTGTCCCTAGGTGTGAGTGAGAGAGTGAATGGTTGTTTGTCTCGTTTGTCTCTGTGTGGCCCTGTGATGGACTTGCGACCCGTCCAGGGTGTACCCCGCCCCTCGCACAGTGATTGCTGGACATGGGCACCAGCGACCCCCGTGACCCAAAATGGAATAAGCGGGTAAAGAAAATGGATGGATGGATGGATGGATGGTTCTGTCAAGTAGTTTTAAATATATAATGCCTTTTTATAGAGTACAGAGAAAAAGAGCACGTCTTCAACCTGGTTAGACTAACAGCTCGCCAAAAGAGGAAAATGGCAAGAAATTAAACGGTGTCATACAAAACAGAGATTTAATCTCAGCTCATGTAATATTATTTCACACCAATGTGTTCATTTTCAGACTTAGCTTTTAACCCTGTAAAAAACGGATTTAAAAAGGGCCCTCGTCTGGCTAGCCATTAGTAGCCTAGCCAGGAAGATGATTTTTGCCTTTTTCTCAAAACTTTATTTTCCATGACAGGTGTGATGGCTGAAAAGCAACTAATGAATAATCTGACAGAACATCAAAAGTGAACAAATTATTCCTTTAAAGTCTCGAAACATGTTTCAGTGCAGAATTAACCTTGAACAGAAACATCTCATGCAAACTGACGTGCCTTAAAAGCACATTAATCAAAAAGGGTATATGAACGCAAATAACAACAGATAATAAATCACTGCAAAACATCTGTTACCTGGTTGTCCAGGAGAACCAGGAAGTCCATACTCTCCAATTTCACCAGGTATGGTACATGGCAGCCTGTCACCTAGTAGTGGCCAGATACAGGTTAGAACTTTCTCTTGGTACATTTTAACGTACACTTACAGCAAACACTTATAAACAAAGCAGCACAAATACTTACTTTGGTTTGTACATAACAGAAAGAAATAGTTCAAAATGCCATACCTGTACATCTGTTATTATCCTTGCAGTAACCAACACATTGTTTTATTTGTAGAGTAAAAGATAAGCAATGTTTCTAAAATGTAATGGAGATTACAAGCACATAATGAACACTGATGATTTTGTTACTTTCTCAGATGTACAGTATATATTCTCTGAATGTTTTTGCAGTTTTGATTCAGTTGCTTCCATTCACATTAACAGACTTTAGGCTGGTTAATCTGAGTTTTATGGTTTGCACTGGAGGTTAAATGTTAACTGCAAGCTGACTGTATTAAAATGCAGATGAAAAGTAGAAGCTGATGGGAAGACGTAACGGGATTTTATCCCTTGAGATCAGCGATGTTTCCATTGCCGCCCTTTCCCAACCGTCATTGGTTAATAGCATTTAGCAGAGGCACATGCACCAAGTTTGAGCAGCTTCCATTGTTGCAGAAAGAAGAGGGAAAGATGCAACGATTTCAGGATTTAAAGCTGCACCCGCCTGTCAATCATCGACACACTCGGCCAGAACTGAGCAGAAATTCTAGGCTGCTAGATTGGACACATTTCTTGTAAAAAAGGCTTCATGTTGAGCTTAAGGAAAATCTTTAGATTTTTTTTAAAGCAGTGGGTATTGACCTTTTATAAATCACTATTGTTGCACCTGCAGTAGATATTATTTGGATTATTGTCAGTTTGAAATATCAGCCAGAAGTTCTCTTTAAGAAGTTGAGCTAACAGATAGTCTAGTTCCATAGCAGACTTCAGACATCAACACCAATCAGACAAACACTGTTATTGTGTGTTCCAGTTTTTTTCTTACAGCTCTTCAACTCCAGATGGCGCCAACAAGCTCACACCTGCGAACCATTATCCTATTGAGATGTAGGAGTATAAATGGCAGATGATGACTTCCCTCTGACGCTGGTGCATTATCTGCCTACCGGAAGTTGTGTTCCTGGCCACATTTATATTCCTTGAGTTTTGTAAAAGCTAAAACCTTGTTCCTGCATGTTTCAACTTCAACTCCTGTGCTTCTCCTGCGCCCTGAATCTCCCTATTTTCATCGTGAACAACAACATTTTATACTGTTTGCACTCCGTGTATTTGATCATTTGAACAGATTAAAAAAGTATATTACAGCGCTACAACTGCTGGAGAAAGGTTGAAGACTCAAAATTGCAAGGGGAATGTGAGTTGCAGTCACGTTGTGCATGATCAATTTTTTCATGGCTATTTTTGTGTGCATGGCTTGTAAAACTGTATTCTTGGTCGTGCACATTATTTTGTTGCATATCTTCGCCTAGATCGTTTCCACCTCAGCCCGTTTTGCACTAACTTTGGCTGCTGTCCCCTGATTTAATCAACCGGACTACACGTTTGAAATAAAAGTAGACAAACCTGGACCAACTTTTAATCATTATTGCTTATAATTATGTACTTATTATCACTATTACTGACGTCTTGGAGTTGTACGGTAGTCTCAGATGTTGTCGGTCAAAAGGAGAGCTCCTGTGCAGATGTCAAAATATAACTCTAGTTTTATCAAATTTAGAGAAACGAGACGGATTAAGATCCGTAAAAAATTGAAGCAACAAGCCTGCGTGGCTTATGAGAGGAAATTAAAAGCTACCATGAACGTTTCAGTGGAGAGAGTTCAGAGACTCCCTTGCAAATGCAGTTTGCCAACTAGTTGCCAGTAGTGTGAGAGATACCAACTACAGCTTAGGCTAGACGTGAATACGAGTTAGTCTTCCTGAATCCACCATTTTTTGAACCAACGCTGCACACTCTGACCCTGGATTACTACTCTGACCATTGGTTGAGAAAGTTAGTTACCCACCCGTTCCCTCTCCGGTGCCATTAACCCCTCCACAGCTGTTTTCACCTGGACACATGCACAAAGATGGTAAAAGAAATGGAGGGATGGGAGATGGAGAGAAGCAGGGATAGAAAGGTTTTTGTAGAGACAGGTGAACAAGATGGCAGAACACAAAGACATCAAGATCACATTGCATGCACCAATGAAGCAAAGCAATCAGTTCCAGTAAATTAATTCAAAGCTCATTCAGTTAAAGCAGAAGCATAACGATGTTCAGTGTCACAAAGCTTAAAGCAGGCCATCATGATTAGGAACGGAGAGAAAAGGAGATTTGGGGCCAAGACAGAGATGTAAAATCTCTGTGTAGGCCATTTATTTCTCTGTTTTCTCTCAAATCTTGAAAGTGACAACCTTAAAGATAAAAGCAAAATCAGTCATTCAGCATTCTAGTACAAAAAGCGTACATTCATACTGAAAATGAAGCCCAGCGGCTGCTGAGGACTTGTCTTTTAGTCTCAGAGAAGATCTGAAAATCCACAAAGCACTGCTCATTCAAAGGTTCAGATTCTGTTTAAAATATACGGTATGTCCTATGACTTTCCTATTTAAGCAGAGATGTTGTGCAATCTGATGGGGTTCAACATTTACAGGTTGGGGATGACTCTCAACTACAACCCCAACAGATTTTAGAATACAGTCTGTTAAATCCAAAAAAATCAAAAAGACGCTCCTGCACATTGTCCAAACTTGCAAAGATTTACAGTTGCGATGTTTCAGTCACTAGATCTTCATCAGGCAAACAGCTTGATCACGCATTATTCACTGGCTTATTATAGTTTATGGAAGCAGTTTTTTACTCAAAAAGAACAAAAGACCAAAGAATGGACTGTGTGTGGAAAGCAACAAGCAATAAAACAAGCAAAAAGTACTGGAACTCCTTAAATGTACTGCTTTCTGACTCATAGTTTGAACTACTTTGATCTTCTATCTGCTTTGAGTCTAAAGAAGCACAGCAGTAGTTGCTCGTATTGAAACTGTCTTCATTGTACATCAGTCTTTTGACTGCAGAAGCAGTTTTTATAGATTGTTGCGATAGAGTACAAGCACATGAATGGAGACCAGTGAGCAAAGCATCGCCAGTTTGCAGCTGATACAAGAAGCTATTTGGTAAAGGAAACCCAACTGAAACGTTGTTCGTCCTCCAGAAGTGACCTTTGGTATGTAATGAATGTTAAACTACTGTGGAAACTAACATACAAGATGGACAGCGATGGAATGGATTTATGGTTGGAAGTTTGTTCTGTAGGAAAAATACGGCATGAAATTCCGATGATCACAGTTTCTCTCTCACCCTGAACGCACCCAACATACAACATTCCTCCTCTTCAACATTTACCCTTCGGTCCAGGTAGACCTGGTTCCCCTGGGATTCCATGGATACCAGGATCTCCGGGTTCTCCACGAAGTCCAGGTGCACCAGCGAAGCCAACGCCGGGCTCACCAGGGCCTCCGGGTCGACCTTTGACTCCTGGGAATCCTGGGAAACCCTTCTCACCAATCGAGCCAACACCGCCATCACCCTGGAGGGTTGGGGAAAAAGTAGATAAGTAAAATGCAAGGAGAAAAATGAAAGAAAAGAAGTAGACGCCACGAAAAACTGAGAATATTGTTTTAAATTTCCTTTTAGTATACCTTTAAGAACTTGTAAAAACCTTTATTGGATTAGAACAAATACTGCCAGTCTAAGTTCTCACCGGGAGCCCTTGGACTCCAGGAAAGCCAGGTCGACCATCTCTGCCCTGTTTTCCTGTTTCCCCTGTGGGTCCTCTGGGTCCAGGGGCCCCTTGCTCTCCTTTCACCCCAAAACCTGCACTGGGATAGTACGGTTCCCCCTTCTCTCCCTTCAGACCGAAGAAGCCTCTCTCACCAGGACGACCCTGCAGAGAACATGTAAAACATCTGAGACCTGGATTCAAAGAGTTTGAGCTGTTTTTATTTTATTTACTAAACTAAAGCAGGGCAATATGTACATTTCAACAACAGACTGTATATTTTACTTACACGAGGGCCCGGAGCACCATTAAAACCAGGAGAACCAGGATAACCAAGCTCACCCGTCCGTCCGGTGAGGCCTGGGCTGCCATTGGCTCCTGGAGGTCCAGGTGGTCCAGGCAATGCCACAGAGCTTCCTCCTCCTACACAATCACAATCTCCAGAGTCACCTGCAAGATGGAGGGGTTCAGAAACAGAATGACAGGGTGAAGGAGAAATAATGAAAAAGAGTGGAACACAAGAAAAAGGGAAGACGAGTTCAATAAAAATGAGGTTTGTGATGATGAAAGAGCAGGAAAGAAAAAGAAAAGATAAGAGTAAATGTATTAGAGACCACTAACAGTGGAAACATTAAGGTGCAGGGTGAACCTGACTACACGTCATGATCTGGGTTTCTTACCATAGTTTTTGTACTACTTTACTTGTACATTTGAATATATATGTCAAAAAAGAAGAAACAATGTTTCTTAAAAGCAACAGATATCAAAGACATTGCTTTTATTGTGTGAATGTTTATGAAGCATTCACACTATTGTGATCCATTTTTCTTCTGTACATTTTTCAGCATATTTTTCATTCAACAATTTTTGAGCTATTTCAACAAATCATAAATCAAAACGTTCAGCTCTTTCAGGACAATCCTGCTATGACTTGTGGTATTGGTGCAACTTTCGCTTTTTGAAATATTTATCATTTTCTGCCATTTTTTCCTCATAGAAAATGAACTGAGCTCATTTTACATCCTTCAAATATTTAGATCCGTTTACAACCTTTTATTGCTGCATTCACATTTTGTTCTGCTTCAACTTCTTCAGCTTCCTCGTGCAAATTTCCATATTATTCAGCTACTCTCAGCTATTTGTTCAGCTGTTTTGTGCTCCTTTTAGATTCATTCTGCCAACTACAACATTTTTGTGCTTCTTCTAACTTTTTCTGTTAATTTCAGCTTGTTATGCTTCTTTCAGCTTCTTTCTGCAACTTTCAGCTTTTTCTACTATTTCAGCTACTATAGCCATTTTATGCTAATTTAAGTTAATTCCACATTTTTGGCAATCATTTCAACTTTTTCAGCCTAATTCAGCAAAAATGTGCGCTCCCTCTTCTTTCTTGTAATTTCAGCTTCTTTTTGATTTTTAGTTACTTCCCAGCAGTTTTTGCTAATTTCAGCTTTTATCAGATAAGTTGCACTTTTTGTGTTCATTTTTGCTTTTTTCAGCCTAATTGGACAAACGTTTTCTTTCTACTTTCTTATAATTTAAGCTTGTTCTACCTTTTCAGCTACTGTTTTAGCACATTTTAGCTGTTTTTAGATAAATGCCTTTTTTGTGCTAATATCTAATATTTTCTGCTTAATTAACATATTTCTGCTAATTTCAGCTTGTTATGCTCCTTTCTGCTTATTTCTGCTAGTTTCAGTCATTTTAGCTATTATTTAGCTGTTTTATGCTAATTTTAGCTTTTACAGCTAATTTCACATTTTTAAGCTAAATCCAGCTCCTTTCACTTTCTTCTGGTAATTTAAGCTTCTTTCTGCCTTTTCAGCTACTTTTCAGCCCTTTTGTTGGTGCTAATTTTAGCTTCTTCTTTTTTTTTTTTAGCTAATTTCCTAATTTTTGTGCTCATTTCTGCTCATTTAAACCTAATTCAGCAAATATGTGTTCATTCTGCTTTCTTCTGCTAACTTAGGGTTGTTCTTCCATTTCAGCTACATCTTAGCATGTTTTTAGCTAATTTCAGTTAATTTTCAGCAAGTTCTTCAGCAATAAGCATTCGCTAATTATCATTAAATAAAGTCATTACTATGTCAATAATTGGCATATTAAGAAAACTGCAGATACCATTTTATGTCAGTAAGTGGCAGAGTTGTGCTTTCTTTAAGGATTAAAACTAAAACTTCTGAACATATATGGACAAAAAAAGAACCCCTTGGAATTAATTGTAGCCTGCCATGAATAAGTTAAAAAGATTCCGCAAAAATGTCTTTACATCAGTTTGAGATGCAAATAAAAGCTAATGTTTGTGATAAATCAAATCTCCTGTACCTTTATAGCCTTTGTGCCCTATGAAACCTGGCTCTCCTCGGGGACCAGGCAGTCCAGGTTGTCCAGAAGGACCTTGAAGTTCATTAGAAAAATCTGCAAAAATACAAACATGCAAAAAACACATTGGATGTTAAAAAGTATAACTTTAAAATAAAGTGTCACACAATGTTTAAACTTCAGCTGACTTACAATGACTGATATAAGACATCAGACACCATAAATGGATATAAATACACTTTTGATTTATAGATCTTTTGTTTTGTTTCAAAATCTTTAGTCAAGTCTTTGTATCATATACTGTGGACTGCAAAAAATATTCCACTCCCCTACAAACCGCAGTGCTTGAACTTCTGTCCCAGTCTCAAACCCTTTTCAACAAGTTAACCTTAAACATTTTACAATTACTCTAAACTCTAGTTTCACCGTCTCTAACAACACTCCCCACAGCAGGCTGTTGTTGTGACGTGCACAAAATTGCAGTGATTTGTGCAACTTTGCCACCACCATGCTTCACGATGAGACATAGTGAGCTTATGCCAAATGATTCTACTTCAGTCTCATCTGACCACGACACGTTCTTATGTTCATTTTGGAAGTCTTCAATATGCCTTTTGGAATATTGCTTTATTTTTTAGTTAAATTAGTCTTTTCCTAGCCATTATGCTGCTTATAGGGATCCTATGGACATACGCTGCCATCGCTGCAGAAGAGCTCCATCAAGGTTGGCCTCTTGATAGCTTCTCTGGTTAAAGCCCTTCCTGCCCAGTCTGTTTTGGTGGACAACCATTTTTTGGTAAGTTTGCTGTGATGCCATAGTCTTTTCATTTTCTAACGACGAGTTTAATGTATGATGTTCAGAGTTTTGGACATTTTGTAATGGTCTGCACTTCTCCCCAACTTTGTCTCTGACCTGTATGGAGAGTTCCTTGGTCTTCATGCTGCCCCTTACTACTTGGAGGTGTTTCAATAGGGTTGATTCAGAACAGCTGCATATACAGGGATCTTTTGGCATTGAATCACTCACAGCCAGATTTTATTTAACTAAATATGTGACTTCTGAAAGTATCGGTTGGGGTTTCACAGCAAAAGGGATGAATGAATATGCAGACACCGCAACCAAGTTTAGTTTTATCCACTATTTAACTTAAATAATTTGAACCATTTGGTTTAGGTTAATTGTTGCTTATATTTAAATTGATAATTCATGTAAACTCTAGACTGTAAGACAACAATATAGAAAGAATTACAAGAGGGTATCTGTAAACATATATCATATAAATTAGCACCATGCAAGTGCAGCTGAGTTTCGAAGTGTCAAATCTTTTAGTTTGCATAATTTTTTTTGTCAGTTTTGACATAAGATTTGAGTACATTCTGTGCTGCTGTCACACAATGAAAGACTTCTCTTAGAAAGAAATGACATTTGTTAATTTATAAGCTCATATATATATGAATAATATGAAACAGAAATGTATTTGGCAAGAAGGAATTGACTGATTTTACATCGACTGTAATAGCTGAGAGTAAGCAACATGCAAAGCGTTTCATGATTTGACACTTACTTGAACGGAGGAAACAAATACACATTTATTAAGTCTGTTCCAAACTTTCAAATGAACATGTATCAAAACAGGTTATGATTTGTTTTCCTTTAATAATGATCCACTTTCAGTTTTATATGTTCGTTAATCCCAACCCCAGTTACTAAAGCAGCTCCCGAGCCCTGAACGTTCATGTAAAATCAGTGACAGCAGGGGACACCTTGTGGGCAAAGATAAGAAAAGCAACTTGGAGTAGACACTCCTATCCAAGTCTGAAGCTTGTAGAAGCTCGCAGTCTCCATTTAATACAATTCCCTGCAAAAAGTACAGCGCAAAAACAATAAAACATATGAATAAATCAGCGTTTAGGCATTGAAGTATTGCAAGATGAAAAAGGTATGGGATTTTGCATTAAGAGGCTGAATGCTGCCATGGCGCTTGCAGGATTATGGCTGCATGGAAGATACCTGTAGAACTAACCTGAGGGCCCGACAGGATAGATGATGCAGGGATGACCGCCTTTTGAGGACAGCAGATTCAGACATGATTGACGATTCAGACTGATGTTTACCAACAATGTCTTACCAACAATCTGATTTCCTATTCCACAAAACTACTTCAAACTCGTACTGCAAGTGATTGCAGACCCATTGCAGTTGAGGTATAGAATGATGGTGAATCTCCAGATAAAAGGTAATTAATGCATTATTTAGTTTTAGTAACATGATAAAAATAATAATAAATGAAAATAAAAACATCTACAACACAAGATATTAAATATATTAATGACCTGACTATGACATGTCAAGATGCATAAATCCTCAGAACCTGAAAAAGAAAGGACGAGAGAGTTTTAGCACTCAGTTTAGTGTTGGCATACCAGAAGAGCCGGGAGGTCCAGGAAGTCCAGGAGGCCCAGTGGATCCAGGGGGGCCAGGGAATCCTTCAGGGCCATAGCTCTGTATGCCCGGGCTACCCTTCTCACCTTTTTGGCCTCTGCCACCTGGAAAACCAGGGGATCCTGGAGAACCTGTGTGCACAAAACACATTTTATTTATCTGGAGTGAGATCATGTAAATTCTTAACCAGCGCTTCATTGATGGCCACCGTAGCAGAGGGATTTGAGTAGAAAATGTTTGCAGTTTTTGAGATAAGTGTTTGTCTGGACCAGAAATTAATAGGGAATGCAAGTAAACTTTCATGTTTTTAATGCAAGATATTCAAGTGGGTAGGCGCTACACTGTGTAGAAGAACTGAGATAGTTTTTTTTTGTTTGTTTTTTTTTGTCCAAGGCAACACAAGGTGACATATTCTGGCGAGTGGAGGGAGCAATTTTATCCACCACCAGATGCAATGGCAGAGTCAGAGGGTGACTAATGGCGGTCTTAGCCACTATGGATTAATCTTCGGCCAGCCAATTCACTGCTGCTCCTCCGCATTGAAAGGAATCAGTTGAGGTGGTCCATTGATTAGGATGCCTCCTGGACGCCTACCTCTAGAGGTTTTCAGGGCACGTCTCACTGGTAGGACGCACCAGGCTAGACTCAGAAGTTGGTGGAGGGATTGTATATCTTCTGTGGCCTGGGAAAACCTCAGGGTCATCCAGGATGAGCTGGAAAGTGTCATTGGGGAGAGATATGTCTGGGTTTCTCTCCTGGACCTGTTGCCTCCGTGACCGACTACTTATAAGTGGTAGAAGATGTATGGTGGATGAACCCAATTTTTGACTGGGACCTTTCTTGCACCTAGATGCAGCCACACAGCAAAATGGAACCTTGCTTATTTTCCAAGTTATCCAGCTCACAAGTTGGACAGACAGACAGCTGGACAGATGGAAGGTATTTTCAATTCCTCTATTCCTTCTGCAACAAGGGACAGCAATAGTCCCTATCACAAAATCTACAATCATGTTGTACGTTTATTACCTATAACAAAACGACCCGGTGGGCCTAGACGTCCAGGTTCTCCTGGAAATCCTCTGTCACCAGGGTTACCCGGCAGACCACTATAACCCGCATCCCCTGGATGTCCTGCAACCAGTGATAGAAAACATGATCTTCTAGTTCATAGTTCAGTTATATTAAGTCAAGAATAAAGTCAATGTTACCTTGGACAGAAGTGCCAATGCCACTGACATAAGCTGGAGGTCCTGGGGGTCCAAAGTCACCTTGCTCTCCCTGTGGGAAGTTCACAAAGTAATAAAGCAAAAGTAAAGAAAACAGTTTTGTTCACATTGACTAGCTACGATTTAGGCTAATCTAACTGATGAACAAAACTTCTGAAAAGGGCTACAATAAATCACAGACACAATGTTGTATTTATAATGACAAGTTAATAAAATCAGAATAACTATTTATTGTCCTTTTGTTGCCAACAGTGTATTTTCATGAGTTAACTAAGAAACTCTCTGCCAATGTAAGCTAAATACCAAACTAACATGGATGGACCAAGCTAATACTAATTTAGCTAAGCAAAATTGTTGACGTGTTATGTGCCTGGGCACATTGGCCTTATTGCTTTGTCCTTCTGGACAGATTTTGGGTTAGCTAATCAGCCTTTAATTGTTTTGGGCTGTGGCCTTTTCCGCCGCCCATAAATAGGCTAGTTTCAGGGAGCTCGCCCTCTCAGGCTCACTCTGTGAACTTGCTCATGCTCCCACATTTTTGGCCTCTCAGAAGCCCTCTCTCCCTTTTGGGCCTCTTTTGTTTGGACCTTTTTTTTTTTGTCAACCCTGGTTTTACTTGTTTTTCCTTTGTCCTGGAGCTGTGGCCTGCTGTCGGTGGCCTCAGCCACCACAAGTAATTTTTGTTAACTTTTTGTATATTTTTTGTAACTTTGGCCTGGTGGGACCGATTGTCCTGTTTTCACCCTTTTCTTTTGTAATAGGTGTTTTTGTAGGTTTTTTCTAGTTTTAGTCTGGTACCGGTATAGTATTGAGTGAACATTAGAGCCTGTACATATAGCATAATAGTTATAAAAGTATTGCATTTGATTTAACTAGCTTTTTAGAAATTGGTTAAAAATATTTTGAAAACGTTGTCATCTACTGGTCAATCAAGGTTATTGCAACGGAAACTCAACCTTGGCTACACAACAAAAGGACACTTAGCCAAACTGTACATGCTAGCAACTGTTGACAAATCTCAAACTGCCTTGGTGAATTAGTCCTGTCCTGAAAAATGAAGCGCTTAAAAACTGCACTGACCAAACACAACTACAACCAGCGCATCATAATCTACTGCAGTGCAGTACTCTGAAGGTTGTACTAGATGGCACAAAATAACTTGTTATTGAACCTTTATAATGCTGTCATTTTCAAATAAGTTGTTTATTTGAGCAGAAATATTTGGATATTTATGCCATTAGAATTCCAGAAAGTGAAAGCTAGCTGCTGCTAATATAATCAGTCATAGTAACCTAGCAAACTATAAACATATGCCAATAGGCATTTATTGCAAAATAAGCAACATCAAAGTAAAAAAAAAAAAAAAGACGTGTATCCCTATGAAATTGTTGAGACTGTAGTTGTTTTAATACAGCAGTAATACTTTGATCTTGACTAGGCATTAACTCCTCAGTCCAGTCAAAATAAAACTTTATTTCTTCAAACTGAGGTTATTTAAACTGCTATCTACAACAGGTTATTAATGGTTCAATCCATTAGCGTCAAAAGCATATGTATTATTGGGGAGGGGGGGAGGGGGGGGGCACACTGGTCGCGGGGTCCGGGGGTCCTCCCTCATAAAATTTTGAATAAGGAGGATGCCATTTCCTGCATTCTGGTGTGCCTGGCAACACCAGCCCCCTCCGGTCGAAAACTGCTGGCACTAACGTAGTGCTAAGCTAGTGGCGCACAATACAGATGTGTTAGCCAAGATGCTAGACATAAAGCCGCCGTAGCGCTAAGCAAGCGTTCAACACAGAGATTCTCCCCCTCCTCCACGCACCTTATCGACAAAACAAACAAACTCAGAAACGAGCACCCTGCCAAGCAAAGTGACTTTGGGGAAACACTGCATGTGATGTGGGGAGATGTTGTAGGTAATCAGGAAAACCCGAAGTGGACTTTTGGAGATTTGAGTATTCTCCTGATAATCGAGTGGAATGGATTTGTTCTCAAAGAAATAGTTGACTGGGTGAACTAATGTCTCATGGTAAATATGGGTGAAGGTGTGTTTTTTTTTTTTCAAATTAATATTTTTTAAGTGTGACGAGGACACGTCCTCATCACATATAACTGATGCGACGCCTATGGTTCAATCATTCCACAATCCACTACTTCCAAAAAGTTGAACAGCTGTTTCAAACTGCAAACAGTTACATGTGAAGGAGCTCAGATACAGTTACATGGTGCTTTACTTTCACTACATGTGAAACCACAATATCTGGTAATAAACACACACACGCACAGTCAGACACACTCTCATGCACACAAATTTCACCTTAGGTCCTATGTACCCTGGGTGGCCAATATAACCCGGGTCACCACTCATTCCCTGTGAAATGAAAACAATATTTTGTTCTGTTTTGATTTCAGTTGCAAATTTAAAGACAAAACACAACTTCAGTAAACATTATCACAATTTTTACCAGCACTGGCTCTATCATGCTTCGATCCCAAATATATAAATAAATAAATAAAAGTGTTATTCTGTTTTTCCTGTCAACATTACACTAACAACCTAATCATACTTTGGTTTAAAGGGTTTCAGGCTAAATACTATATACAGTATCATAACTTTGGATAATATGAAACAGAATTATGGGCACAAACTCCAGTCATAAATATTTGGTGCTTTTAAATCAGACTGTGTGGTTGTGATTTAAGTTTTGTAACTTTGTAAAATAAAACGACAAATAATTTCTCCTTTGAGAATGTGTAGATAGGAATGTGTTTTTGTAAAAAAAAAAAAAAAATACACAAGTTATAGTTTAAAAAAATAAATAAAGTTTGTTTACAGATACAAAGAAAAAAATACGTGTACAACTCTGCGCTTAACTTCCCTAACTGCGTGAGTTTTAACTTGCAAGTACGAATTATGACCGATGTTTCTTCCTCTCAGCTGATTGGACAATGTCCTTAGACCTGTTGCAATAAACAATAAATCAATTAATCACATGATAAATGAAAATGATCATCCTCATTTTCATTTATTGGCTTTATCGTTTCTTCGTGTCTCTCTCTTTCTACTATGACAAAAAGCTCAACTCTGGTGCTCTTCACTGACCTCTCCCTTTCTCTTTAAAATCTGTTTTAACTGTCTAAAATCACATTTTTGGATTGTTACAAGCAGCTAAGCTGAGAAGCTAAACTAACAGGCTGATCTCAGGAAAAAAAACTCCGTCTTGTCGAAGCCCCAAAATTCATGGTTGAAACCCGTGCCTTTGTGTAAAAAGTTGTTTTTCTCTGCAAAAAGAAGCTGAGAACTTGTTCACTGATTTACTTTTATTTATTTTTTGTTAAAAGCTTTGTGTGACAAGTGCTATGCTAAAGAGCTCAAACCACACCGATCGTCCGCCATTTTGAGAAGCGAAAAATAGGAAGGAGAAATGGCCCATGTCACATCAAGGGGCATCCCTCCCATTTTCTTAAAGAGACACGCTGTTCGCTCCCTCACTATCCATCCTTTGGTTCAAACAGTCTTATACTGCCATCCGGTGGTCAAAAAAAGGTGCTACACACAAAACAAATTACCAACATTTCTTCTTAAATTTGACAATAATTAATAATTATTGTGAAATTTCAAACAATATTATCGTTTATCGCAATAATTTCTGAGACAATCATCCAGCAAAATTTGTTATTGTGACAGGCCTAAATGCCATGTCAATCACAATCTAATCAGAGAACAGATGGCTTTGGCTTTAGGTGGCGATTTACTGAGCTGCAAGTCCTGGAAGGGTAGTACATTTTGAAGATGGAGGACGCCGCCAGTGCTACCAAACACGATTTTCAAAAATATACTATATATCTGGACAATGATTTTGGTTTTGTTCCACCAGTAATGCCTACCTGAGCCACAGAAGCACTGGCCTTCCTCCATCTAGAAAATGTACAACTCATAAATCATATCTGATTTATATCATAAATACCCTTCCAGGACCTTCAGCTCTGTAGTTGACTTTACAAGCACATGCCACTTGATTGTTGATACAGTATGTGCTGCTGATTATCCATGCTGCTGATCTCATGCTGCTGTGTTCATTCATACTCATCTGCTCACACAGAGTCATGTTCGGGCTGCTGTCCGACATATTGTTTTGCACTATTAAGTGTTTAGCGAATTCTTAGTTTAGCATATTTCTTAGTTCATATCTTAGATCTTACTACTGTTTTTTTTTTACATTTTATACTTTTGTTGGGTGTAACTGGGACCCTGTGTACGCAATTTCATTCCACCACATGTACCACGAGTTGTGAATGACATTAAAGAAACCTTGACCTTGACAAAACATAAATGACTGGAATTTGTGCCCATAAAAAAATAGAAAAAAAAAATGTGCTGAAATATTTTTGTTTAATATTAGCTCTGAAAAAAAACCCAACATGAATTATAGGCCTTTAAAAGAACTATATATAAATATATATATATATATATTTTTTTTTTTGTCAGAAATATATTTGATTTGCATTTTCATATGCATTCTGCGTCCTATATGGTGTTAATGAATGCCTACAAGCCAGTCATAACAAAATTGATTTTATAAAACGAGGTTAACATGTAAAGAGTTTTAAAAATTAATATTTAAATTTTATTTTCTTTACCTGTGTTCCTGGAATACCGGGAGGTCCGGTAAAACCTGAAAACCCCTGTTTGATAAAATGCCAAACAACAAACATCCCAGAAGGATTATTAAGTAAAATATGAGGGACAATTCTGAGTAGACAAGAACCAGGAAGCAACATTTCAGTCCTGTCTGAGCTACAGTACACCAGCTGTAATGATCTTACTCGTGGTCCGGGATATCCGAGAATGCCCTTCTCTCCAACTTCACCAGGAAAACCAAAAGGTCCCTAGAAGTAAATATTACAACAAAACTGAATCTTTTCTGAGACCAAAATTGTCTTGTTGCATCAATAATTTTTTTAGAATATTTTATTGTCATTTCACATGTTTAGTGTCATAAACATTTATAATTGTTCATAAAAAACAAGAAAGTAATACTTACAAGTGGTCCAGGATTTCCAGGGTAACCTTGGATTCCCTTTGGACCGGGATCACCCTTTGAGAGAGGCAGAAAAATGTTAACTTGTTTATGGCATTTTTTGCTACAAGAACAAACAAAAATAAATTATGAAGATTATTTAAAAACAAAACATCTATAGAAGTGGCTTCATCAGAAAATTAGCCTTCTTTTATTGAACTTATTTCAGCGTTTATTGAACTTACCTTTTGATTGCCATACAAACACAGATTTAAAAAAATCTTATTTGTCTAGTTTATTCTTTCAGAATTTTTACTGTACTTTTTGTGATTTGACTAATGAAGGTAAGACGTCCCCTCTCTGTTTGCAAGTATTTGCTGCTGGAAGAAGCTTGATTTTGTTTTAACATAAAGCATAGCTGCTCTCTTCTTCAGTGGTTTCCACAGTGAATAAACTTACATGAGGATTTGGCAATTATTTTAGCCCGGATACCCATTCTTACACGACCACAGACCACCCACGGAGCAGAAGACTGCCATCTAGGTACAGCTGTCATTTCTAACCCGACTCTGGAGCCCGGCCCCGCCCAACCCGGATTAGGGCCGAGCCAGTCCATAATAATGTGTTTAATGTGTGGGCTGGGACAGTGACAGGCTTTTGATTGCGTCAGTGGACGCGCGCGGCTGACGATTCAATTATATGGCAACATGGCTTGCCATACTTTCACGAGCCACACGCGGCCATTTGACCGTGCGCTGACCGGCATTGAAAGAGGTAAAAAGTTCAGTTAAGCTTCAGATGGACTACTGCCAGTGATCCATCTGCCCAAATGGACGTTCATTCAGCCGCTGCACTCAGTGGACGTGCATGGCCGATGACCCAAACAGGTGAGATCACAAAATATCCGACATGTCAGAGCAGGGTTCAATGCAGGCAGAAGCAGGGGAAGCATTTAATGCGCTTTGACAGCCATGAAAGTACAAGCACCCCCTCAGCTCCGACCTTCTGCCTCTTTTATTCAGCCACGCACGTCCGCTGACCATTAAGCAGCCAAAGCTTATTAAAAAATGTCGGGGGGTGGGGAGGGGGTACGGGTTCAGACCTGTAATTACTGTTAATTCATCAGATCGGGTGGAGTTCGGAAATGATGGCTATGGGCTGGGGCCTGGTCGGATATTTTGGACCCGAATGCAACTCTACATCTAGGTTGTTCAGGGGAGCAGATGGGGGGTTAAGAGACTTACTCAAGGGCCAAGAGTGAGGCAAAGGAGGGTGGAGGCAGATGTAGGTGCTTCATCTTTCTCCATCCATATTTTGATGTTACGGTCAGCAGGGGAATTCGAACTGGCGATCTAACCTCTGTGCCACCCATTCCCACGTCAGACAACTTCTTATACCATTCTAAGTACCATCACTACAACTCACTCTTGAGCTGCAATTCTGGCTTACTCTTACAATTAATGCCTGTTTCAGTTCTGTGACTACCAGCTCAGAGGTGGAGGAGCAGCAAGATGACTTCAATCACAAATGCCAAGTTAGTTACATAAATCACACCTAGATGCCTTCTCCCTTCCAGTGAGAAGGCATCGCACACGTTTGCTTCTTCTTGACTCGTACCTCATTAAAATATTTTATTTTATTAATGCAACTGTTTAAGATAGTTTTGTCAAATACTGTAGAGTTAATTTTATAATAGCCTTTACCATCTGTGACTTTTTCCAGAAAACAAACTTGTAAAAATCAATTTACAAATGTACAAAAGAATTTCAAACAGCAATGCTCTTAAAATCCTTATTATTTGTTTGTATTACACTGTAGTGGCTTAAGCATCCAGACAGTGGTGGTAATTAAAATAAAATGTACATCTTGAAAAATAAGCATCTGTATTGTAGTTGATTATAATATTAGAATAAAGGGATAATGAAGATGGTAGACATGGCACACTGCTGGTTTTATGTCATTAAGGTGTGACACTCCCTCGGATTTGGATACATGTAAGGATCATGTACAGACTGACGTTGTTCAGCAGTTGTGTCCCATCCTGTGGCCAGTGGCCCCAAAGCTGTTGTATATGAAGATAAATCAGTCTCAAAAGTAGTCACATAAGCGTACAGTGAGATTTGTGTGAGTACGAGATTTGTACAAGTACAATGAGATCCACAAGTTTTACAATTGCGTATTACAATATTAACAAAGACATTAACATTTTATCAAACGTACACATTTCAATTTGGGCAAGTAGAAATATTCTGTGCATACCAGTTGTCAAAATACACAAGTACAAACCACCTGCTGTGGACGAATCAGTCAGCAAGAGCAAACTGATCAGCTTGTCTGTGAATGTGGCTTTTAAGACTTTCTTGCTGCTCTAGATATACAAAGGTACGCTGTGTTCAATGTTGGTAAAAAGCTGGGACATCTGAGCCTTATCAGATTTCCTGAGTTATTGGGAAAAGACAAATTTCTAACTTGGCACAATAGCTCATAACCTACAAATCTCAAATGCATACTAATATCTTCATAGGCTTGAGTGAATACTTTTGAGACTGATTTATCTTCATAGATGTAGAAGTCCTTTGAGAACTAACAGATCAGCTTTAGTATGGAATAGATATAATTAATTCAATTGAGGACATGTTTGGGGGACCAGACTAACAACTGGAGGACATCAACATGATGCAGGCAGTTCATAAACACGTCATTCGTGGGCAAACATTCTTCTCACTGCACCAATGTGTTGTCTCAGGAAGGATGAGACATGTGGTTGCAGAACATCAATGATGTAGCACTGCACCATCAGGGTCCCAAAAATCTTTACTAGAAGCGACCTGAATTTATAGCCTATGACTCACAAAGCTACAAGGTCAGGAGAGTCTCTCCACAACATTAGTAGGATTGGTCGACTCCAACCTCACTACCAAACACAGACAACGGCCGTCTATGGTAGCTCCAATTAGATTTTTCACTGAACATGACACCCCATCCAAGCACAACAGTCTCTATTCTAGTGTTAATGGCAGCATAAACATTGAAGAATAAACTCATAGTTTAGCTGATGCCTGTCTTTGAGACAGTGTTGGATGACAAGGTATTAGAAAGAGTTTACTACTTGAGTTCAGATAGCAGACTCAGATGTCAAGATGTTCTAAAACCCCTGGTGCCATCTGTCTTGAGCAAATAGGTCTTCCAAAAGATGTGAACTCATAGTTCTGACTGACTGTCTGTTGCTCTGGAATATGACTTATAACTTGCTCCTCTTGCGTCGTTACCATTTAAGCCTTCCACTGTATAGTAGACAGTACAACTCCTTGCAAATCAGATAATTTCCATACCAGTTGCTCGTCTACATGTGTACCAAATTACATTCAAATAGAATAATTTCTTCTGTGTGCTTAACTATTTTGTCAATGAGTGTATATTTCAGTGTTTAGTTTCAGAATGAAGTGGGTACTTGTGTAAAAGAAACTTGTGTTTAAGTAACTTGCACTTTTCAACAAACCTGCATTCCTTTGTCTCCTTTGGGAAAACCCACAAACTCCACAGTTCCATTTATCATTGGCTGGCCAGGCTTCCCGGGCAAGCCCACATCACCCTGGATACCATAATCATGGAACAAAACGCTGTTTACACCCACCATATACCAGCATTTTGATCAGTCGATAGCGGCGGATCAAGAAAAGCAATGGTATTGGAAAGGGCCTCTACTTTTGAGATACTTAACATAAGCGAGTAGGAACTGTGGGCTGGAGAAAGGACTTCATGTTGAAGTTGATGGGAACAGACAGAAGAGGAGCGAGGAAAGTCTGGGGAGATGGGAATGGGTTGGTCTTCACAATAAATACAGTTTAATGATTGAGTTACTGGCTTTAAACATCATTTTACAATCTCAAGCGTCTTCTCCAGCATATCCCAAAGATTCTCAATGGGGTTCAGGTCTGGACTGTGTGGCGGCTAATTCATGTGTGAAAATGTCTCATGTTTCCTGAACCACTCTCACAATTTGAGCCAATTAATCCTGGTGTTGTTATCTTGGAACATGGTCGTGCTATCAGGGAAGAAAAACTCTATTGATGAAATAACCTGGTCATTCAGTTTATTCAGGTATTCAGCTGACCTCATTCTTTAGGCACGTAATGTTGCTGAACCAAGACCAGCCCAACTGCAGCGACCCCAGATCATAGACTGCCCCCATAGACCTGTACGGTAGGCACTAGGCATGATGGGTGCCTCACTTCAGCCGTCTCTCTTCTTACCCTGATGCACATTCCCCACTGTCCTCCCAGATTTTAACAATGCGTTGGACAGGTCTTAACCTGATCTTAGTAGTTCTACCATCTCCTAAGATGTTTTCTCTATTTGACGCATGTCAATAATTTGACTCTTCTGAAACAGATTAAAGGCTTTTTCAGGTTGTGTCTTTCAACAGTTTTATTAAAAAAACGAGAAGCTACTCACGGCATCAGTTAGGGTAAATAACTTGTTGCCAGCTGAAACATAATCACCCATGCAGTGATTATTCAATACGAAGCTCGTACCTATTTGCTTGGTTAGATCCAGGTGCTGACCTGTCTGTTGGCCAGGCAGTGGATTTGACAAAAGGTAAGTCTAGTATTGCCAATAAAAATACTTGGTTGTAAATTTTGTGTATAATTATACATATAATGATGAGAAATTTAATCTGAGCAATGAACTCAAACATACTAAAACATCTATTAGCTGACGGAAAAGTTTTGGTTGTCCAACTACAACTCTATTGACTTTAAGGACTGCGGTGCTGATTAGTTAGTAGATGGTAACCGTGTCCAAAGAGTTCCCAGTTAAGCTAACGTTTATTAAATAACTTTAATATTATTATTAGGATTTAAAAAGTTGAACAGGTTGTTTTTGATGGACCAACCACTCATTTACTTCTCCCCAAACCTCCTCCAACTACTCCTGTTTCTCCCATTTTCTCCCACATGGTGGTAAAGTTTGCTGCAATCACTGCTCCTCTTCCTTTAGCTCCACCTGAATACTCACCTTGATGTGATGATGAGCTTAACTTTTCTACTTCTTTATATTTAGACCCCACCACATCTGTGTGTGTGTGTGTTATGTGTTACATTCTCTTCCCTTCCCTTACAGTGTTACCTTATCTCCTTTGTAGATAGTGACAGGTTTTTCGCCACTTAGAGACCCGTCACCTGGAGAACCACTGGGTCCGGGAAAACCCATCTCGCCCTGGAGTCCGAAATACATACAACACATCGTTAGCTAATTAGCACGGGAGACGAATGCAGTGGAGAAAATGGAGAAGGAATGAGGGTGAGGATTAAAAGAAAAGGAGGAAGGAGCAGAAATGGCAAAGCAAAAGGGAAAAATAAAAGCCGGTAATTTCTGTAGCCAAAAATTAAACAACTTTAAGGATACATTTGGGTAGGTCTGTAAAAAGTAAATTAAAACACATTGCAAAGATTTCTAAATAATTTTGAATCCACCTTAAATTAAAGATTAGTTTAAAGGCAACAAACTAATGCAGATTTTTTTTAAACAAATATGTTAATTTGTTAACCATACATGTTTTTTTAACACTTTTTTTTGTTGTTGTTGTTTTGTGTTTTGCTATAGTCAACAGACGTCTTAGCTTTAAACACCTGCTAACATCTGCCAGTATCTCGTGTGCACGCTCAGTCAGTATTTTGCGCTACATTGCGGTCTAGAAAGATTCATGCCTGCTTCTGGTTCTTCAACATCCAATCAAACGTTGTCATTTTTCATGTCACAGTCACTGATTATGGCCTCCTTATCCAACAATAAATTATAAGCAATTATTAAGTTTGAGGTTTTGTTAACTTTGATTAACGATTGGTGTGGATTCATACTTGGTCTAACATTGCTCATATCTATATTTCAGCTGTGCTCTTCAGTCATTCAGACAGCCGGCAACATTGTACACTGAGGAAAGTTTGTTCTGACAACATAAAATACCAATAAAACTAATTTATAATTTTGTTTATAATATAAAATCAATACTAACCCCCTAACCCTAACGTAACCCTGTGCCTTTCAGTTTAGAGCTTGTTTAGGTGTTTCAAACAAAAAAAGGTCACTGAGGTTGTACAACACAAAGTTCTCATAGCAGTTATTTTTATTGTTTATTTCAAGTTTAGCATTTATTATAATGTAGCCACATTTATTTTCCATATTATAGTTGTTTTGTGGAGGCGTTAATCCACTTTGTCCTTGGCTGTGTTTGGACTAGCCATTAGCTCGTCTGTCCAGTCAAACCTGGACGGTTTTCTCCAAACTGACATCATTTAAAAAACTACGGTAATAAAATTATATTTCACAAACTTTCCAGGGAACTCCACTTAGAATAGTCCAAACTATATGTTGGGGTTTTGTTTGTACTTTAAAACATTTCCTAAATTTTCCTAAAGAATATAGCGTTTTTAATATTAACGTTTTAGCTCCTTAACTTGCATTCATCTGAATGTTTTATCAACCTTCTGAAAAACTCTAAAGCGGTGGTTCTCAAACTGGGGGACCCCGGAGCCCCGGGAGTCTGTGAGCTGCTGCTTGGGGGTCTGCAAATAAATATTTTTTTACTTTTTTACAAGCACATAGATGTTTAACAACCCATTAAAATACACCAAAATGCAGGAGCTCGCATCTACTTTATTAAAATTTTTTTGGGGATGATGCAGGCAACCCCCCCCCACCCCTGCTCGCCCATTATTTGCCTTTTGACATTAATCAGTTTACCGTATTTTTTGGACTATAAGGTGCACCGGACTTTAAGATGCATTAAGCGAAACTAAAAAAATTTGACAGATTTTTGAGCGTCGTCTACCACATGAAGTCGGTTCGAGGTCAGTAAGCACAACCAGAATTAATACATACGGTGCACCGGATTATAAGGCTCACTGTTGATTTTTGAAAAAAAATAAAGATTTTAAGTGCACCTTATAGTCCGAAAAATACGGTAAAAATGAAGTCCTGTTACTTGGTCTGACTACTGCTCTTATGATTCTGTTCAGTTTTATGTAAAGAGTTTTCTGTAATAATTTGAAGAATTAACAACACGTTTATGTTCATTATGTTAATAGGTAAAGTTTTAAAGTAGTTTTTGATGCTGTTAATTTTCTCAAAACTGTAATTTTTGGAAGTTGAAATTAAAATTTTTTGTTAATTAAGTGTCTTGAATGAAAATACCCCATGTTTAAAAGTATAAAAATGGTACTAACACTATTAAAGAACAAGTCTTAAGCCTTTATGTTACACAAATATTTCCATTGCATTAAAACGACAAACTGAAGAAAATTATTTAATAAACATGAGGGTTATGAGGGGGTCCCTGAAACTTTTTCTCCCCTGTAAGGGGTCCCTGAACCCAAACAGTTTGAGAACCCCTGCTTGAAAGTACTGTATCTAACAGCATTTACATTTTATCCCTTAATACAGAATTACAGAAAAGAGCTGTAAGAATTATTACTAGAAAACATTTCAGTCACCCGTCAAGTATATTATTTTATCATCTGAAGTTATTGAAGTTCCATGATTTGGTAGATTATAATAGTTTATCAGTTATGTATAGGGCTCATAATAATGCATTACCTTTAAATATCCAATTAAATTTTGTTAAAAGAGAGAGCTGTTATAATCTGAAGGGGATGGAAATCTTTGTGAAACCTACATTTCGAACTAGTCTGAAGGAACGGTCTACCTCAATCCAGGAAATTAGATTATGGAATAATCTGGAGAGTGATGTTAAAAATGCCAGATCAATGTGTATGTTTAAGAGAATGATCAAAGTTGGTTTGTTAAAAAAACAAACATTTAAATAGCTTAATGTGTATTTGTATGAATTGATGCTCGAGAAGGAGTTGTTTATTTTGTTTTTGTTATTTGAAGATTATTGTTGTTAGAATTAATTTTTTGGTAAAAAGGGGCAGATATAAGATTTTGTCTTCTTTCTGCTGCCTTTCATTTTATTTGCGATTGTATTTTTTATTATATATTGAATTGTTTTGTTTAAATAAAAAGAATAAACTTATAAATAAAAAATAAAATAATAATACCAGCCTTTATAGATAAATGCCATTCATGTTAAAAAAAAGCTAGCAAAAAAACATACAACAAAACAAAAATATGATTATGAAGAAAAAATCTTTGAGATCGTTTCAGGTGGGAGTATAAAAAAAAAAAAAACATGAGTTTTGAGGTACTTCAAGTATTTTCTATCAGTTAGCTGAAGAACATTTGAAGCTCAGGGCTAACAGAGAAACCAAAACACTGAACGGTATTTTCTTTTATACAACGATCAATCCGGCTGCTTCCACTTTCACTTCCTGTCCTGAATCATTCCGAGTCCAGTGAGTGATGCTAACATGTACGTGAGGAAGATGATTGTTAGTAAATGTGTGTGATGGAGTCAGATGGGTGGGGGAGGGCAGTGAGGAGGACCACCACAGGTTGCACCAAGATGGGTAAATAATACAGATCATATAGAGCAAGTGATTCCAGCACGCAGTTCCAGCTCACCAGTTCTCCGGAGTGACAGCTCGGACATTTCAACGTTAAGAAAACTGACGTTTGCTTGAGATCGGGTCAAACTGGTTCGTAAAATCTCGGAGCTGCCACTCCACAGTAAAGAAGATGCCGCCGGACAACTCACAAGCCCCCAAATCTGAAGAATGCAGCTTGTTTTTAAATTAAATCCTGGATTACCGGTAAGTATTAATAAACAAAACACTTTCTGCATCTTTCACGGGGGTTGCGTTTGTCTCAGCGGCGTCGC